ATGGAGTTAAATGCCACCATGACAGATAACGCGTAGCCTAAACTACTAAAGAATAAATGTAGGGGTGAACTAAAGGAGAGTAAATTTTTGTATTGATATTGCCTGTGTGTAATAACTTAACTTCATAACAATTAATAAAATATGTATTCAAAACCACCTCTAAAAAGAAAGGAAAACTACATTAAACAAGAGTCTAGATGTTATTTAAGTTGACAAAATAAAAATATTTCCTATACAGGCTGATTTATTATTATTCTAAATATATACATTAATAACCATATAAAATATAGAAAATTTGGCTTTAACAGGGATATGATATATTTTTATAGAGCATATTTATATCAAGAAAAATATGATATACTATAATATACATGTTTGGTATCTTCTAGTAGGTATACATACTACGTCTTTTTATCTATGTGCATTTTTTATTAAGTTAAGGATAGTTTGAATTGAAAGTTAGTTATTGAATGGTTATTGAATTACTAATTCAGTACCAAGTGGCATGCAAGTGAAATAGCAGAAATGTGGAGTACATCAAATAGCATTATCAGCAATGTTAGGGCATATAAAATTAATTTTTTACTGTAAACTACAGGGCTTTGGCATTATTTGTTTACATTGAGAAGTTTATTAAAAAACAAATTAGTATAAGCATATCCTTCTCTATGAAAATAAAAAATGCTCCACACCATAGAGGTCCATAGATGTGTAGTCTGCAGTGATCCAAAGTGAGCACATTTCGTAATGGTAGTGTACCATGGTTACCTTTTCATATACCATCTCAACTGCTGTTGATAACGCTATTTGGTGTAAAACTTATTACGCTTGAGGTCAAGACGTCCATTATAACGAAATTAACTTTAGTGTCTCGAACACTGTCACAGTATAGCAACTGTATATGGCAACCTTTTTTTTAATTCTGACAAATGAAACGTGGAACATACCCATCATAGATACTAAAATAATATGGAAGCCAATGGAGGAAAAAGAAAAAGTAACACAAAAATGAGGTTAATTAGATTCAATATGGGAACGTTAGACGTCAGATTTTTTTGTTAAATGAATGTTTACTTTTACAAAAATGTTGACGATTAGGTGGAATAGATTAATGTATTTGAAGAAATAATCAAACATGTATTTTCCAATTGGTTGGCCAAAAGTATTAAAGACACCAGAATTGGGAGGAAGCTCTATAAAACAAGTCACTTGTAACAGAGAAAAGGTTCTATTTGCTATCCTTACTGATGATACCATATCGATATGGTTTTGCAAAGTATATTTACATTTTTATTCAAAACAGTGCTGTCTTATTTAACTTCCGAATTTTAGCCTTGTGTTCCAATTGTTTTTCATCGTCGCGATTCGAATTCCATCGCAAAATTTGGCTCGAATGTTTTCCTGGAATGGAAACCAGATTCAAGTATGTTTGTTATTGTAACTTCAGAAGGTCATTTATTATTTTACAATGTGCAAGTTTTGGCTGATCAAAAAGGACTTTATGTACAAACTGATTCTCCACATGAAAGTTTGAAGAGGGATAGTGCTGAATTATTTATCAAAGAAGTTATTCCACCACTTCATCTCTCTTTAGTTAGTATAATTAAATTGAAGCTATTTGCAAAAATTGATAGTTTTTTTTTCATATATCTTTAGAAAGAAGAAATCCAGATATGGGATGGAGAAATAACCGGTATAGTTTGTACAACTATGACAGAATTTATGATATCAACAAAGAAGGCTCATGTCTTACGCTATCGATGGGATGGTACTCAAAATAGAGATTATACATTAGATTTAAGAAGAATTCCATTTTGTATTAATCAACAAGTTTCAAAAGGTAACAATTTTGACATCACCTACCATTTCATTTAAATTATTTGGGTATACAAAGCAGTTTATTGTGTATTTTTTATATAGTTATAAATATTAATATATATTATGTATACAAATTGGCTTTCAATGGTATGGGTAGGAGCTGGTAGAGCTTTAGAANTCGATCCAAATGTAAGATTATTTCTATTATCAATTATTACATATAATTTTTAACTTTTTTAGCAAGCTCAAGGAATTTGGGCTCAAGGAATTGAAGATGCTACTTATGCTAGTGTTAATCATAAATATAGACTTATAGCATTTGGAAGAGCTAAGTAAGCTTAATTTACTGCTATTAATTAATTTTTATTGTTTTGTAAGAAATTAATTTTAATGGTTTGTATTTTGTTTTAGTTCGGAATGTGTTGTATATTGTGTAGATGAAAGTACTGGAGGCTTAGAGCTATCGCACCAGTGTGTACTAAGTAGCAAAGATTATCCAGGTTGTCCAGGGGCTGTAAGTCAAATAAAATGGACTCCTGATGGTTGTGCAATGGCAGTAGCTTGGGATAGAGGTGGACTGACTTTGTGGTCTACATTTGGGGCTCTTTTGATGTGTTCATTGGGCTGGGACTACGGATTACATGTTGATTTAGAAAAGGAAAATCCTCTTCACATCACCTCAATGGTAAAGTGCATAATGATGCTTTTTCTTTGTACAAACTTCTAAAATTGAATTTCTTTAAATCGAAATCTTTTGGAAATTAAAATATTTTTTCCCTCGACGTACATATTCTTTAATGTTTTATGTTTAATTGCTACTGACAGTTCTTGGTCTTGGGTAAAAGTACCTATGCATCATATTTACTAATGGTTATCGAGTCATCAGGCGACGAAGCACATATATTCATAAACATAAATAACTAAAATGAATGGTCATTTACCGTATTAAAAAGTTTAATGGTAAAGCACAAATTTTTCATAACTTGAGTTTTCTCTAACTCGAACATCATTAGTTGTATTTAGGAGGTTTGGAACGTTTGACTGTATATAATGTTAAAAAGTATAAAAGGGTATTTTCAGTGCTACAATTTGTATTGTATTTATTGCCATCAGCAGAGAACAAGAGGTACCATAATATTCATAAAATTAAAACAAACAACATAATTCGTTATTAGAGTTTAAAAAAAAATAAATAATTCCCATTTTAGGCTGTAAGGATGTACTCAGGGTACCTATACACAGCAGCAAAGACTACACTAAATATATACTAATTACACGTTAAAAGGAGCAGAAAATGTACATAATTTCTGATTTCTTTTAAAAATAAACTACATATATGTACATTGTACATGTTTGTGTATACATATTTTATTTTATTTATTAATACTGTAGTAGCGGTTAACTTAAATCTATTTTAAAATATTTTTACTATCAAAAAGGCTACTTTTGCTTCTTCTCATTCTTTTATAAAAAGAATATTTTGTTGTTATTAAATTTAGTATGTATTTTTAAAAGATTTTTAATATTATTGTGCTAATTTTTATTTTATTTTTTTGTAATATAAGGAATTCGCCACTGAAGGATATGAGCTTTGGATGGTTCGAAAGCTACGTTACGAAAAAGAAAAATCTAACATTAGTAACGGAAATGAAAATGAAATTAAAATGTATGCATATAGTGTCGTCCAGTTAGATTTTGTAAAAAGTGCTTTAACTACTAATCCTTGTATGGTAAGTATTACTTTTGGTCTATATGTTACTAGAATTACATGTTTACATTTCAGAGTCATAATAGTCATCTTTACCTTCAAGGGGACGATAAATTATATGTCAACACCGTAGATACGTTACGAAAATTCTTTTCAGATCGTTCTGATGGTAATTTCGGGGAAAATAATTCTAGTATGCTCACAGAAGGCAGACAGTGGCTTATTATTCCGATCCCGTCTACATATTCGGCTACAAACTGGCCAATAAGAGTAAGTTGTAAAAGAGAGATTTTTGTACTATTACTAGTCAGTGTTTTTAGTCATTAAAAAAAATCTTTTGTATTATATAAAATATTACGGCAGGTTATTGAATTAAAAACATAAATATACATTTAATAAGTTCCATTGGGGGTTGTCCATAAAATACATCAGTCAGAATTTCAATGTTTTAGATTCCCCCCTTTCGTCACACTACGTCATACTTTCAGCGACCCCCTTAGCAATATTACGTCACAGAAGCTAGGTCAGCCCCCTTTAAACGATTTCTTATGATTAAAAATAGCAATGAAAATCCCTATCGTAATGAAATATTTTAAGAACTGTCACGTTAAAATAAAATTGATGAGCTGCGAACGTCACATTTCCTTAGACTCCTCCTCTTGTCATATCTCGTTACGCTAAGTTATACCTATCCTTCCCTCTTATTTGCGAACATATTTTATAGACGCCCCCTTGTGGACAGTAAAGTGAAATTAAATTAAGTCGATTTTTGATCTTACCGATATCCACCGTTTCAATACCTATATTAATATATATTATAGTGATTCAATCTTTTCTTTTAAACGGGTTTAATAGTTGCAAGTAATGTATGAGAAATGCTCTGATCTAAGAAGAACTTGCAGTATTAAAATTTGCTGGTGGCTGTGTGGATTTTAGTTTTCTATAAGAAAAGTATGAGAATGAATACGTCATAAATTTAAAATATTTACCGTTATCGCTTGGTGAAACAATTATAATTAGAGTAAAACAAATTTTAAAAAAAAATCACTAATATTTACTTGCCACTTGATACGTATTTCGCCGTATAAGGGCATCATCAGTTATTATAATTATACTCAGTGTAGTGAGTGATAAATAAATATTAGTAATTTTTTTTCAAAATTTGTTTCAATCTAAAAGAATATTTTATTAGATATTTTTGTTGATATGTCATGAGCAGACAAACTTACACAAACGGAAGTAAGTCCATTAAAAAGAGCGTAAAATATTCTATAAAAATGTTCTAATGCATTTTTTTCATTAGCTTATCAGTTCCTAAAGTCCAGAAATATTTTTATAAGAAAGATAATTTTCTTACAAAAAGATTACACTCTTTTAAATGGGCTGTGTGAAAGAAAGAAAATTTGAATCCCCCATTTAATTTTTTTATTTAAGCTTATAGGCTTATGGCCTTATGTATATATCGAAATAATAGCATACATAACAATATGTAATAAAAAGTTGCGTCAGTAATTACTACACTGGTTGAAATTTCAAATTAATACCGCATACCCTTATACAATTATTTTGATATGTATGTATATTTATAAATCTTATTTCATTCTCTTTCTTTTTTAAGTATTCTGCGATAGACCATGACGGTCAAAACATAGCTGTAGCTGGTCGTACTGGATTGGCTCACTACTGTATTGCAACGCGAAGATGGAAATTATTCGGCAATGAAACTCAGGAAAAAGATTTCATCATAACAGGTGGTTTACTATGGTGGAAAGACTACATAGCTTTAGGATGTTACAGTATCATAGATAATCGGGATGAAATTAGGTTTTATCCCAAAGAATGTAAATTAGATAATAGGTTTGCTAAAATAGTACGTGTTACCGCTCCAATTCTACTTATAAATGGTCTTTATGATCAGCTGATAACTTTCGGATCGGATGCTGAAGTTGCAATTTGGTCGGTGAATCGATTGGACTGTGGTAAGTTTTAAAATATTGAATGATACAATTTTATGATAAGGGAATATATGATAATATAAACCTTATAATAACGGGAGGTTAATTAGCAAATGCGCTTTTGTTAATTTTTACTATTTTTATTTATTCTTATAACCTTTTCCGTTACAGCTTACTGTACATTCTTCGGACGATCTAGTTTCTAAAACTTAGAAATTATACCGTCTGAAAACTTCAAAAATTGATTTAACATCTAATAAGTGCTCCTGCTCTTCACTTGACATATATTATTTATATTGATATTAGTCATATAATTATTCGCAAGCCTGAGTTTGTTACAAAACAAATTATTTATTCGAGCTTCGCGTATATTTTACATTACATTTATGCTATAGTACTATTTTATATCAAACTTTATGCTTCACAAAAATGTTCATATCCATTTTTATTTATTTAGCTTAGCGTACGTATGTTATTTTTACTGAAATATTCAAGTTTTTAATGCTATTGCATTTAAGGATTCAAAAACGTATGGTTAAAATCGGTTTTGTAATAAATTAGCTTATATAGGCTTTCTATCGGTATTTATTATTTTAGAGGATGAAAGTGTGATATGCTTTCGTTGGACAATTTAACCCTTTATACCGTTGGGAAAAGCGTATTTGTAGCCCAAAAAGTAATATTTGCTTATATTCTAAAATATTATTTGTATTTAGTAGGTAACGTGGAAATTTCCAAAATTCAAGCGATTGATATATCTGCTCTGTGTGTGCATCCGGCTTGTGTGACCTCAGTTACGTTAACTTGTATACGAACCGAATCGAGTAGAAATCAAAACACGAACTCCGAAAATATTGTTTTAAATGTGAGCGGGCGCCTGCTTTTAGTACAAAGGAAATCGCAAAATGGAGATAGATATACATGCTCCATGCCTACCGTCCTTGCCAGTTGTGTAGAAAATGTTTGGGTACCCTTAAAGAGAAAAGTTGAAAAGGTAATAATTTTTACATAAAATAGTTTTTATACAAATTTTATTTTATTTATTTTCAACATAATTAATGCTATTTATGGATTCAAACTTCTTAACGATATTGTTTCGGATACAGAGTTATACTAGATTTTATATTGTTGCTTATTATTATTTATATTTATTTATGATGTGTCTGAAGGTTGGGAAATTCTACTAGAAGTCGAGGGTGAAGCGCTAGTATTTAATTCTATTCAATTATTGACTAACGTGTGTTAACATTATTTTTTTAATATTTTTAATGATTATAATGCATTATACATTAGTTAGTTAAAAAGATCCATTAAAATTACTTACAGAACACTCAGATCATCTAAAAAGTAAAATGTTAAATCTGTACTAATCGTAAACTTCAGAAATTTAACAAAATCAGAAAAATAATGTTAATTTAGTCAATAACCAAATGGAGTTAAATGCCACCAATTCACCCATACTTTTAGTAGAATTACTCAACCTTCAGGCACATAAATAACAATAAGTACAACTCTGACTGAACTAACAGCCGATACGATATTATCAAGAAGTTTGGATAATGTTTGTGAAATTGTTCCTGAAGTATTAAAATTTTTCTTTTTTTTTTTTTTTAATTATTTACATTTATTATTTATTTATTTATTGTTCGCAGGTTCACTTAACAGAAGCTCTTTGGCTGTTTTGTGGATCACATGGTATGAGAGTTTGGTTGCCACTGTTTCCAAAAGACGGCGACAAAACTCATACTTTCATGTCAAAAAGGATTATGCTTCCTTTTAATTTACGCATTTATCCCTTAGGTAACATTATATACTAAAATTGCAGGTTAATTGTAATTAAATTTAATACGATTTTAGCAATACTATTCGAAGATGCAATAATACTCGGCGGTGAAAATGATACCACTTTGTATACATCCGACTCGAATTCTTCATTCTCGTTACCTTTTAATTTTTTAGGTAGAACTGTAAGTTAAAAATCAGTGCAACGACAATGGAACTTTATTATTTTTTTGTTTAAAATTTCAGAGTCAGGTGTATTTACATCAAATATTACGGCAGTTAATTAGAAGAAATCTAGGATTTCATGCTTGGGAAATTGCCCGAAGTTGCAATAATTTACCATACTTTCCTCATTCGTTAGAACTATTGCTGCACGAGGTAAGTGTATAATTTTTTTCAAAAATCTAATGAGTAAGAATAAAAAAGTTCATACTTTGTCAATACAATACATTTATAATAATGATACTTCGTAATCATGTTTTAATGGAAAGAATTTTTTCATTTAAAAGAAGTGGAATTCTTCTATTATGAAAACTAGAGACGCTCCTAAGTTAATACCGTAGACGTTCAATGGTGTGAACCGACAAAAAATTATTCACATTATCAGTTTGTTCACACCAATGACTATCATATTTAATATTTAAAATATACCTACAATTAAAAAATAAACATACATAAACTTATAAAAAAATACCAATACAAACTCATTAAAAGACAATTCTGGTTGAAAGGATTTTCCCTAGAAATATTTAATAAGCGAATTCCCAGTCGCTTTGCAAGCTTAGCATTATGACCATCCGTGACTGACTATAAATTTTATCTTTTTCAATTATTTGTAAACGAATTAAATTTTATTTCTGCGTAAATTTTTCGCCACTTATAACAAAATATTAATTTCGTTGATTAAGAAATCACTTTTACATTTTTTCCATTCTGGGTCACTTCGAAATCTTTTATGTTTTTCTTTTAATTTGCTCCATTGTATGAATCTCTTCACAATTGTAGAGATAGTCACCTTCAATTTGTACATTTTGCGAAACCACTAACAGTGAACTAGTATCTAAAGTGAATTCATGAACAAAACAGAATCTCTCTAGCTAGTACGACGATTTTTAAATTCAATGGATAATGTAAATTCGTTTCTGTAACCAAAGGCTTAGTTTGTTTACGGTATACGGCGGTCTTTCATAATTTAGTATGCTGGTCGCATACGAGATATCCGTTATGCTATGTTCACACAATTGCTAGTCTGTGTTGTACTTCTTTTATGTCGAAGAATATTTAATTTGTGATAAACATTTCCTATATTGAAATATGAATTTAACAATGTATTTCTCTTATTATTTTCACTTTGCTTATTGTTTTAACTTTATAATTCCATTATTCCCGTCGAGTCCCATGTAATTTGAATACAGAATCATTTTTTATTTAAATGATCTTCAAATCAAAATGAAACGTCGATTCGAAATAACGGTGAAACTTCTTATTCTACAGATTTTTTTGTAATGTTTTGAATTAAACTTTTATTGTTTTGCGGTTCAGGTCCTGGAAGAGGAGGCGACCAGTAAAGAGCCAATACCTGATGCCCAGTTGCCAAGCGTGATTGAATTTATAATGGAATTTCCAGTATATTTACAAACGGTTGTTCAGTGTGCACGTAAAACAGAAATAGCTTTGTGGCCTTATCTGTTTTCAGCTGCTGGCAAACCGAAAGATCTTTTTCAAGAGTGTATGGCCAAAAAGCAATTGGACACTGCTGCGTCATACTTAATCATACTCCAGGTAAAATATTAAATAATTTACCTACTTATTTACAAAATCAGAAAATAAATAAAATAACATGACAGTTAACTTTCAGTTTGTTTCAAATTTATGATCTATAACTTTGAAAATATTTAATAAAATCGCAAACTTAATCCTTAATTTTAATTTTAATACGAATATTACAAACAAGCAAGATAGGGACATGTGGCCAAAACTCGAAATTTTCAATTTTGGTTTATAACTCGAAAACTAAAACCGAAAGCAAGTTTTTGAAAACAGCAATAAATTTGTCTTAAAAAAAGAAACCAAGATGTTGCCATTACTTTTTTGTATTTCTTATAATTACTGAGTTGTCCTATACAAAATTCCCCCCCCCCCTGAACATAAATGAAAACAAGACATGATTTAATAAAACTATTACCTAAATAATTACTATAATATAAAACTGAAGAAGTGAGAGTTCTCTTTATTTTTCAGTTATTTTAAAACACTAATATATAATATTTTTTAGAACTTGGAAACATCTTCGGTCAGCAGACAGTATGCTACTCTCCTCTTGGATACCGCCCTTGAACAATCGAAGTGGGAATTGGCCAGAGAATTAGTTCGCTTTTTGAGGGCAATTGGTATGTTAAATACATTTTATATTGTACTTCTAAGAAAATCATGGCGATCCTCCATATCATAACCTAACCTAAGCTCTTGGTGCATACTGCTGTATAACGCTTACCACTTTCATCTTTCTCACCATAACGGAACCTAAACCCTTGGTACACAGTACTATGTGCCAATCAGGAAACCATAATCTAATTTAAATCAATAGTGTATAGCACTTCACATGATAATCAAGGTAGCGTTTCGTACTATAACTTAACCTAGTCCATATAACTACCCCTGGTGAATAGCTCTTCACACGAACCGACCAGAGAATCCTCACTCACCGTAACCTAACGTATAACACTTCACACGCGTTACTTGCGGTTTCTCCATACTATAATCTTAAGCTAATGATTTCCTCGGTGAGCGTTTAGCTATAGCCTAACTTTGACCTTAAGGCAACCAAATATAGGCATTTAAACATGGTGAACATGTCAAAATATTGGTGATTTTTAATTAAAAGTCCCAATTAAACAGAAACATCATTGATATCAAAAGTAGACACCTTTCCTTCTTTTAATTAGATGTTTTAATAGTCAGCTAATTCCATAATTTTGTCTCATTAATGGGACTAGTTCAACATTTGAAATGAAGTGGCAATTATTAAATAGGGATAATGGTGATATGGTATAGTGAAGATCTTTTAACAATCTGTTGTATGTAATATGATTATTACCTTTCGTTTATTTCTTGCAGAAAACTTGTCATTGAACTTAAAAACATAATTATGTTTCAGATCCTAATGATGTAGAGTCTCCGAGAACATCATTTATTTTACCATCAAAACTGGGCTTTTCGCAGACTCCTCCAGTAAGCCCTAATGCTGAAGATTTATCTTTAATTTTGGGCAACGTTCAAGGGAGCAGATGCCGAAGTTTCAGTACCACAGTTACGCCAAAATTTCCCGAAAACAAACTTCCTATCAATACCAACAGTAATAACCCTTCCACTGAATCTCCTCTTTTAAAAAGTAGAAAATCCATATCGTCTGCCGTTAATATCAAAAACGAGAACAGGTAGATACCTTTATTATTTCAAAAAAACAGTAATTTAGATAATCATTTCACTATAAAAAGTTTAGTAAAGTACTTTTTGCTTAGGTGTATTAAACATACTAGATTAAACCAAAATAAAAAGCAATTATTCTGAAAAATTTGGTAATACTGTGCCTATACATTGAATTTGCGTAAACTATAAAACGAATTTCAAAAATGAAGACCCATTTTATTGAATTCGTTATTATTAGGGATGGTACTGCTGAAGAGTTTTTTATCGACGTCATTTTACAACGTCACGCAAGAAGACTTTTGTCATCGCATCGTTTGTCAGATTTAGGTTATTTTGCTGCTCATCTTGACTTCCACTTGGTAACGTGGTTAGCTAGAGAAAAAGACAGGGCAGCTAGAATAGATGATTTTGTTATTGCTCTTAAAAGCATCCATCAAGACTTCAATTGGCCGTATCCCACTGTTACTAATGCACCGAGAACAAGTATAGCATCAGGTAAAAGATGATTCCTCGGTTTTTTATAGTTTAAAAAATTATGGTACCCATTATTTTTCTTTTAATCGTCTTATTCTTTGTTTTTTGTGATACAATGGTGTACGTATATTTATTTTAAAAATTAAAAACCAGTATTTTTATTGGTTTATGAAGACCTAATCATACTAATCACGTATTTTTGTCATATTCAAATGTACATATTTGAAAGTTATTTATTTATGCGCAATAACACAAAAACTAAATTTATTTAAATGAAATTTACAAAAGTAATTGTATATTTTTTCACCCATTAGAAATGTCATATTATGTGGATACAGACTTATAATTAATAAAACATTAAATACAGAATATTCAAAAGTTAAAATAGTCAACAGAAATGTGATATCTATATACCGCAATTATTTATATTTTTTGGCACCTTTGACAATTTTTTGAGATTGTTATGTTGTACATAAATATATTAATTTTTTACTGAAAAATACTGTTGTTGTATTCTGTTGATATTTTTATTTTTTATACTGCTGCTAAAACGAATTTTTCGTGTACAGTTCCTATATTAAATTAATACTTAACTTTCAATGTTCAGTGCAGTCATTGCTGGACAGTCCCACAGCGCATTTAGATGATAGGATTAAAGCTTTGCACATAGATACAATGTACATAAATCAAACATCGAGTCGTATTGGCGATAGCGGTTACATGAGTTTTCCCGGGGGTTTACCATGCACGGGTCTTCTTACATCGATGAATAATGTCGAAAATTATAGTCAAGTCTCCGAAAGTGAGATGGATCAGCAAAGCGAAATGACACAGGTCGAATTAGAAGGTAATGTATTAGTTAAATATTTTTTAAACTATCTTCTTATAGCTTAGTTTTAATATCGATTTTCAGCGAGCCCTCCAGATAGCATTGTGAATTCGAAAAGGGAAGAATCAAGTATGAGCGTGACAAGTTCTGTCTGGGGATTTGAAAATGAAACGGCCAATGCTATAAATGAAAACTGGGATGTTCCTCAACAAGTTTTGGAGCAACTTTCGAACTGTGGAATAAAAGGATCACAAAGAGCTGAAGTTCAATTAAGGTGCATCATTTACAAACTAAATACTAATGCTTTAACTTAAACCTTTAAGGGTCATTCATTTTTATTTTTTATGTTTTTTAATTGGATTTTAGATATCTTCTGCAGTTGTTTTTGGAAGCAAGTTGCTTAGAATGGTCGTTAATTATATCTATACTGTTAAGAGATGCAATGGCTGTTATACGAACTGTAAATTCAGCTAGAACATCTGATCAAACAATCGAGGCACTTTCCAGACTTAAACAAGGACTCCAGGTGCTATTTAACTGGACAAATAGGGAATGGTAAGTACAAAGCAAGCTTGACGACGTTTCACTATTGTTGAAGTAAATAATGCTTTTGCGTCAGAATGAAACCTTTAAATGTGTAGTGTGAAACGAGGTAGCTCGTCTTGTCACATTACAGTGATAAACACACAGTACGGGAAGTTTTATCGGCCTTAGCAATTTAGTATTTAGTGAATTCATATACAGTAAAAAGTACTCAGTCGAGACTTGCGTAAAGGTGTAGACACACACATACTTTTTCTAGGGATAGGTAGCTATATTTTATTTTATTTATTAAACCAATATATATAATATATGTATAATACACAAGTAACTCCTCAGAGGTATAATAACTACCTACCTCTCTATAAACAGATAATTTACATGGAATTCCCAAGTTAATTTTGAGTCTTAGACAATTGTGCTTCTATTTAGGAAAATAGTCATATCATATGAAATAGCTTGTATACAGTTTAAGAAAGCAAATATTTTGTTTTTCCAGTATTTAGTGCTAGTCGTTTTACATATCCACAAGTAAATTTTATCTACTAATCAGTTTAGATTTTTGGCAACTTCCTCCCAATTATTACCAATGAATACAATAGCATCTGTATAAGAGAATGTATCTTTAGATATGTTTGAGGGATGCCTGAGAGTGTATAAGTAAAGTTACTTATTTCATTATTAAGTGTTATACATTGTTGTCTATCCGTTAAATAATTCTTAACTAAATTCAATAGAGTTTCTCTGAATCCTATTTTATCTAAATTCTCTAATAAAAGTTTATGATTTACTGTATCGAATGCTTTAGTTATATCTAGAAATGCTATAATTGTTAGCTTATTTAAATCTAGGTTATTATGAAAAATATTACTTATTACAGCTATAATATTTTTACTTCTTGTTTGTTTGGGAAACCAAGTTATCTTGTTTAATTTATTTATTTATTTATTTGATAAGAAATAACAACTTATGTTTAACTAAAAATTTTATGGATCTATTGGATAGTACAGTTTCCAATATTTTTGCTAGATTTGAGGTAAAGTCTATTGGACGATAATTACTTCCTGTTTGTTGCCATTTTTATACACACCGACAATTTCAGTTACCTTAAAGTGTTTTGGAGACAGTTACCAGTATACAGAATTATTTATGATTTTAACTAAAGGGGTAGTTATAATGAGCTATTCTTTTTAACACAGCTGCATGGATATGATCTATTCCCCTTTTAATTTTGAACTTATTTAAGATTTTAGGATCATGTTTCAGTTTATTAAAAATTTTGGTCGCCATATAATATTTATACACTCACAACTTTAGTAACTAAAGGTATACTTTAGTTCAAGTAATATTTGTTGAATTTAAAAACTGATTCGATATGTTAGTTAGATAGAGTTAATGATTCTATGCGTGCAATTGAGACAGGTTAAAAGCATTATTATTTAGTTTTTATTAACTATATTTAATATTTTGCAGTTGAAAGTAGTAATAAGTTTGAAGTCACTACGTCACCAACTCTGGCTCTTTGTTTCCTATCTTTAAGGTAGCTAGTTATCAGTTAATGAGTATTACCTTGTAAATCCTAATTGCACAATTCAATTTAGCAATACATACATTGCGGTATCGAACGCTTCGGTCAGATCGAGAAAAGTTACGGAAATTGACTTAGTTTTATCCAGTTTCTCACATATTTTATTAGTGATGCAACTTAATGCATCCTTTGTACCTTTTTATAAATATAAACTGCATTTTACAGAAAAAGGCGTTAGTAATATTTACAGCTTACAATGAGAATTAAGTAAACTTTTATTTTTCAGCCTTGGTTATAAATCGTTCATGTTGGCCATACAGAGCCAGATTTCGGTTTTGTCCAAGATATTGACAACGAAAATTCAGCAACAGCAGATTCAAGAGCATCAACAAGCAGTTTCCGCGACATTTAGTAAAATAACTACATTCATTCCTCCAAAGGGCAGAAAAATTAGTACATGTACTGATTCCAATAGTCAAATTGGATCCAGAGAACTCGTAAGTAGTCAGAAGGGTAGTTTAGGGAGTAGCGAGAAACCTGACGGGCAAAATACTCCATCCAGTCAAAACGAGAGTGAAGACTATAGTCCATCTAGTTCCATTATACCAGAGAGTACTGGTTGCGTTGTTTCGTAAAATGTTAAAATTTGATAATTTTATAATAAGAATATGTAAATATGCAAGCGTCAAAAGTGATAAGTTGAAAACGAGTCAATTTTCATGTTCATAGCTATATTCTTTTTTTACGCAGTATCCATTTGAGTTTTGTTCAGTTATATATTTCTTGGTATTTATTTTACTGAAGGCGAGGCAACAAAACAAAACAGTTGTGCCATATTTTTTCACACGTGCATATCAGTAATAAGAATTTTTGATATTTCTGTTACTCTGATAACTAATAATTAATTNTTTTAACGTACGACAACAAACCCAAAAGTAAGGTCTCCAAAGTTTCGTCTATTTACCACACTGCTGTGTTTGTTTTCTCAGCAACTGTGCGTAATGAAGTTCCCGATTGCCGCTACCGCAAGGTACGAAGTTCGTGAAGTCATTCGGTTTTTAGAACACAAAAGGCGTTAAAACTATCACAATTCAACAGCAGTAGACCGAGGTGCATAGAGAGATTCATGGAAGTTAAAACTTCGAATCAAAAAAGTTGTTGTTTTCATAACGCCAAAGAAATTCTGGTATTTCAATATCTCAAGGTCCTCAATGTTTTTAACATTCATGCATGAAGTCATACAGTTCTTTCTACTGTTGATGAATTTTAAAAGATCTAACGCCTCTTGCATTCAAAAAATCGAACAACATTACAGCTTCGGTAGCGACAAATAGAAGCTTCGTTACAAACACCTCATGAGCTAAGACAGAGCATCATAGAAGGCTTGTTCAAGAGTGATGTAAACAACAAACACGACAATTTGGTCAATTAATAGCCGAGCCAAAATTTTCCCTGTGGCCTTGGGATTTCCTTTGTATATTTTTTCTGAGTTACTACAGGATACAGCCAAATTTGAAAAAGGACTTAATAATTAATTTCCTCATAAATGTACGTATCTGTATCTATATACCAACAAAATTGTTTTTAAATTCATAAAAATTATTATGGCATGTTTGAAATTATATTATAATCAACATTTTTTTAAAAATTATATGACATATACTGGAAAACTTTTATGTTTTTCTTTTAATTTGCTCCATTGTATGAATCTCTTCACAATTGTAGAGATAGTCACCTTCAATTTGTACATTTTGCGAAACCAGATTTTTTGGCTAACACTAACAATGAACTAGTATCTAAAGTGAATTCATGAACAAAACAGAATCTCTCTAGCTAGTACGACGATTTTTAAATTCAATCGACAATGTAAATTCGTTTCTGTAACCAAAGGCTTAGTTTGTTTACGGTATACGGCGGTCTTTCGTAATTTAGTATGCTGGTCGCATACGAGATATCCGTTATGCTATGTTCACACAATTGCTAGTCTGTGTTGTACTTCTTTTATGTCGAAGAATATTTAATTTGGGATAAACATTTCCTATATTGAAATATGAATTTAACAATGTATTATAGATACTAAAATAATAT